AGGTATACACATATTGTGACACTTTTCTCTTCAACATGGGAAAGACAAAAAAAAATAAAATGGAGGAAACGCAACTAATTGGGAAAGTTGTTAAAAAAAACCCTTCTGCTTATAATTCATCTGCAGCTAAACACAATTCGGCATTAATGACAAATGTACAGCTGAATATAGAACAAAAGTTACATTTTACATAATAAATTGCTTTGCACAGTTAGTAGAGCACTGGTTAATCTATTGTATAAAAATGAAAAGGTTTGACCTCATTGCAAAGCTAACAGGACATGATTATTCAATCAAAGCAGCAGCCAAGAGGCCCACTGTAGCTCTGGAGGAGCAGCAGAAATCTGGAACTCAGGTGGTTCAGTATGACCAGCAGTACAGTTCATTTCTGACCAGTTGGTCATCTGGTCAGGTGACCAACTGGTCTAAAAGCTAAGGAATGCTTTTAGATTGAAACTTGTTAAGATGGCTTAGTCAAAGTCCAGATCTAAAACCAGTTTAGAATCTGTTGAGATTATTGGAAATTGATTTGCTACATAAATAAATTGAGGGTTCCCAGGCTACAGTACAGGAACATAAACTAATAATTATTTCATGGAAAATCTGACTTGCATGGGAAAAAGAAAAGTTGCTTAATTTTAGAAGATGTGATGTTGTTCTGATCCGATGAGACTAAAACTTTTCTGACCTACATTGAAATTGGCATGTGCAAAACAGTGGTGCTCTGGGCAATTTTGAAAAAAGTATTCAGTTGCATACACCTCAGTAATGACATCCCAAAGATGCGTTTGTCCATCAGCTAAAAGACAAAATGTAGAGTTTTTAATGGGTGCGACTACTTTTATACTCTATGGATTGTTAGCTTTAAAATTACTCTTCCCCCCCCCCCAAATATTATTATTAAAGATGGATATTTGAATCTTACAGCAACTTGGAAGTATCACGTTTCAGTTATCATGATAAATGCAGCATTTACAATGCAGAGAGAAGACGTGCTAAATATCAACACATTTTCTAAATATGGATAATCACCTGTTTGGTTGTGCATGACCTGAGGCAGAGATTCATCTATTAGAGATTCATTCCATTAGAGGCGTTTCTGAATCGTTTTATGCTATACTTGTTCATAAAAATCACGAGTAAACGAGATGGTACAATTTACATGAAATTGAAATCATCTCTAGAGCAAATTGAAAAATGAACCAGGAGTGAGTACTGGCCTAGAAAACCTTCCAGAACTCCCTGAAGAAAAAACAGGATGCTGTAGATAAGAAAACAGGTGAAAATCAGTGTTAAGGTTTCATGTTATTAACATCGATAAAGTGTTTGGGGGAAAGAAAAAAAAAAAAATCAGCAGCTACAACAGATTCTGGATCAGAACCCTTCCAGGTGACAGATGATTTATGTCTTGCTCCTCGGCGGTGCAGATAACCCCACCTGACCTCTAGGAACATCAGTTTGTACAACATTGTGTTGAGGGATCCTCCCGGGATCCGAGACCCGAGCTCTGGAGCTAATAGGTACAGATATCCATTTTCTTCCCTGCCTGCACACCTCTCTGCCCCGTTCTGCCGCACTGCAAAAAATGTCCGTCTCCAGCGTCGTCTCGCCGAAGCGGCCTGCCAGAGACAGCAGGCAAACGGCTCCAAAAGCGCTGCTGTTGTCAAGGCGAAAGCAGCAAAACAAGATATCAGCCCCGGCTGCTTGAGATCTGGAAAGTTCACAAATCGCGTGGTAGAAAGGAGTCCAGATCTCTCGTATGCGTCTTATCAGTCTTGGGGAGATTTGGCGACCATATGGCCACAGTTTGCATCTTCTGTTCTTTGTTGTTGTTTTTTTTTTTCCGTCAAGTAATTTGTCAACATGTGGTATCAGTGCAGAAAGATTAGCTCCTCTCCAACAGATTTTGTGTTTGCACGGCACAAATTAAAGCCAACAGAAGCATGTGGTTCAGTCCTTGAATCGTTTTATGCTAATGAAAGACGTCACCTGCGGTGTTAAAATCTATTTACCACTTTGTAGAAAGCAAGAGGAAAAAGCAACCCGGCCTTGCGTAAAACAGTTATGACCACCAAAACCGAACACCAGGTTGTGTCACCCTGAGAGAGAACAACTGCTGTCAAGCACTTGTTTTAACTGCAGATGGAGCTGTTTTAATTGAGCCACTTTGGATGCTATTTGTTCATAACCAGCCTGTTTAAGTTCACACCATGGCATATCAGTATAATTTCAGACTAAGCCAATCTGAAATCCGTTTTCTTTTTTTCTTTTTCTTTTTTTTTAGCCTATTACAGTTGAACTTGCTATTCTTTAAGTTCAACACTTGAGTTAAGCTCAAGTGTAACTCAAACAGGCCTGGGCTTCAATATCAAAGTGAGGGATGGATGTTCTTCTTCAGGTTATTCTGCTAAATAACCAAATTTATGCTTGCACCAATTGCAGAACGTCAACCAGGTCCTAAAACAGGAAATCTGTTTTGGTGCCTGCATCACATTAGCACCAAAATGTTTGACTGTATGTGTGAAAGCTTTCTGAAATGTGTTTTTATTTTATAACGGGATGCACAACTTCAAAAGAACTTTTTTCTTCTCTTCCCGAAAAGTGACCTTAACTTTTGGGAAAGCAAAGTCTGGAGAGCTCTAGACGTTGCTTTACCTCCTGTATGAGTTATCAATGTGCTTTTGGAGTAATTTTGGTAGTTAAGAAACAGCATTGTAATCGTTTCCAGCTTGAGATCGGTTCTTGAATTTCATTAGCATGGGACATAATGTGTTGATTTCTGACATCCATAAGCTAACTTCATGTAGTCAGCTTGTATTTTAAGAAGTTGGGCAGCAATCAGGTTTGTGACTTCTGCAGCTGAACTGAAAAAGAAGGTTAATCTCTTTCTCAAAGTTTAACAAAGAGGAAAATATATTTCCAAAATTGTCCCAGGTTAGTTTGAATAGCTTTTTTTCCCCTTATTAAATCAAATCAGCAAAGCAAATACTTTCCCAATACACTGTATGCTGATTTTTTCCCTCCTCCTCCTTCACTAGACAGCAGGATAATTAATTAAGAAGCTGTCCGCTACAGCAGCTTCTGTGTTTTCATGAAGCGAATCTGTCAGATTGAATGTCATGTTTGCAGCTGTAAGCACTGCCAGAACTGCAAACATCAAGAGGATAAAAATGGATCAAAAGAAAATTGATGCACAATAATGCAATTCAGTTCAGTTTTGTTTTTCATATAGTGCCAATCCACACCAGAAGTTATTCGAGGACACTACAAAAAGGCCAACAGGTCATGTTTTAATCCAATTATATGCAGTTCAATTCATTACTTTTCAATCCAGCTTGTTCATTCTAATACAGTCAGAATGAACCTAAGCTATCTCAGACACTTGGAATAAAATTTAAATTCAAGGGCTTACACTCAAACTCATTTCAACAGAAACTTCTAAGGATAAAAATGTGAACATCAAATTGCCTCTTTCAGGAAGCCAGGGGATTGTACCTCATCTGGGTTTAGATTCAATTATTACTTTGTATATTTTTTTTTAGAGTTAAGAATCCTAATTTATTCCCAAACTCTATTTTATTACATGACTATTAAGTTATTTCAATTTATACATTTATCAGTTTATTCATTGTCATTGTTCCAGTAACTAGTGTTATGTTGTTAGAAGTTGTGTTGGTGGCGGCTCTGGGTTACTGATGCCCCCATTCACTAATATGTACTCCATTTAGTATCCCATGGTTACCATTTTATCCCCCAAAAACTCAACTTTGGGCATGTAAACAAATAATGTCTGTCCATGTGTTTATCCTCATATATTAGTTCACTCTTCATGCAAGTTAATAACGTCCGATAAATTGTGGTAGCAATCATAAAAATGCTCAAGACTTCCATTATAAAACTTAATGTAAAGTATTTTTGAAGACTTTAAGACTCTGTTTTCATTGGCTGAGGTGCTAATCTAGGTTTAGAATGTTACAAAATAAGATTAAACTCTTCTTCAAATCAAAAATAATAATAATTATGGTCAAATGCCCACATTTTCTTGCAGAAACTGAGCATATTCAATCATCGGCCATCTAGATGGTTACAAAGTGCCACCCTAAATGATACAAATTTATGTTTTTTTTATGAGGTAATAAGAAAAAGACCAAAACCTTAAAAAAAAAAAAGACATGCTAAATAACTTGGTTTTAGAAACCCATTCAAATGTGGCATATAAACGACCGCTGTAGCAACACATTCAGTAAACGGCTGTAAGACAATTGCGCATCGAGACACGAACCATCAAAAATGTAATGCATTTCAATTATTACTTTCGTCATTACATGTCGGCATGTTGAATTTTCACGTTTGACTAAACACAGAAAATGCTCTGCTTGTAACTGGAAACAAATGTACAGCTTCCAACATCTCTCCTGCCAAGTTTTATAACCTAAATGTCAGGTTATGAAACAAGTCATGAAAATATGAAATTTTTATTTTCCGCTCTTGTTTTTTCCCATTTTCTTAAATAGATCCCTTAAAATCCTGCAGTTGGAGCCCACAAAGTATTACATGAATTTATTATCTGCAAAATAATAAATGTTGCTATTGATCAAAAGTTACGCTAATAGAGCTAGCATTTCTGGTCATTAGCATAACTTTGGATCAATAGCAACATTCATTATTTAGCAAATAATAAAATCATCTAATACTTAAGCTACATTAAAAAAAAAATCTGCATATCTGCAGGAGAAAAATGCTAATTATAAATGAAAAAATAAATAATCATTAAAGAAAAACATGTTTAATTTGAATGCTCATCATCAAACCCCATTTTCAGAGGCTCCTGAAGTGACTCGGATGACTGACATTTTTTGCAGCGGGCTTTCACCTCCAAACGGGAGAAAGGCAGACGAGAGAACAGGCTTTCTGGGGGAAGATGACTGGCGGCTCCGCTCGGCCAATCAGAGCGGGGAAGCTGCTCGGAGCTTGCCCCGCTCCGCTAACGCCATTGGCCGCCTGCGCCAGAGAGTCGGGTGGAGGTTCTGTGCTCATATTAATGACTGCCGAGGAGACGGCGGCGCATCTATGTGGTCCGCCTGACACTTGATCGAGGGAAGAGATGCGCCGCTGATCGGCCGCTCTGAAGACGGAGAAGGGAAGGGCACAGGGAACACAGGAAGCTGTATCCGCACTTCTCCTTCATCCCCCTCCTCCTCCTCCGCCTCCTGCTGCTGCTGCTTTTGGAACATTTTTGCCTCATAGAAAGAAGCCCGTGTTATTTGCGTGCGTCCCCCTCGCCACCTGCCCCCCTCCGTCGGATGAAAGCAGAGAACTGATTTCTCATCAGCGGCGTGAAAACGACCACACATTGTTGCCTGCTCCTCGTTTTGTTGTTTTCTTTTTTTTTTCCTCTCCTCCTCACTCGGTTGAGATGGGAATATAGACGGGCGGCGCTTTGAATGCGACGATGGTTGAACCGGGTAAGTTTTTTTTTTTTTCTTTCCCCCTCTGTCATTTCCTTTTGGCGCATTTTGCCAAGTTGATGCAGAACGCTTCAGCTCACAGGAGAACGATTTTTTAAATTATTATTTAAAATACGGACATGTAGTGATGAAGAAGGGTGGAGGAGGTGGTGGAGGAGGTGGTGGTGGTGGGCGCTTGCGGGGAAAGCGGTGCACAGTAATTAGGCGGATGACTGGCCCTCGAACCCATCGCTGTAGACGCGCTGTTTTGCGCAACTGTGCATGATGCAGATTCGGACTGCGCCGAGGCAAACAAGTCAAACCAACTAAAGACTTGTGTCGCCTACCAGACGCATCTTAGGAAAAAAAAAAATCAATAGAGCGGTGCCTAACACCCCACCACCGTCACCACAGCACACACAATTCACTCGCTCCTTTTATTTTCTTTCTTTATTTATTTTTGTTTTCTGTTAAATACAAACTAAAAAAAAAATAATAATAATAATGATAAAAAAACACTACTTAAGTAGATTTGGCATTCCCAGCACCTCCGTGCTGGACAGATTGCCTTCGCCGCTCTCTGGCATGTTGGATTCTCTGGCTTTTTACGTAATTAACACGGCAGCTGAGAAGCACTCACCGTCACCAACGAACCTGATCACCTGCTCATCATCCCTCCTACATCCACGCATCCAGGGATCTGGTTGGTAAACAGAGAGCGGGATGGCACCCACTAATCCCCCCCCCCACCCTCCAACACCTTCACCCCACATACACCATCACACCGAGATCCTATTGAATCTTTCAGGGATACTGATTTAGAATAGAGGGCAATGAGTATGACATCCCCTCCCTCCACCCCTCTTCCATTTGGGTTTTTGCTTCTCCTCAGTTGTGAATTCAATCGATTTTGGCCTGCATGATGCAAATGACTCACCCGAGGCAGCCGCTTTTACATGAAAACTACGCTTTGCTGGGATAACCTGGACTTGCGCACGAGGCCACGGATTGCACCCACGTTCGTCAGGAAACCTGTAACCGTTTTGTTTTTTTGGTTTTTGGTTTTTTAAGTTAACCTCTGAAGCAAATATTTACAAGGTGAACTCTCAAAAATATGAGATATAAAACCTCAACATCCATTTACATTGTTGCATCACCTCCCTCCACCCCACCTCACCCCCCCTTTCTTTCTTCTACAGTGATAAACAGTGATGGGTTTAACTTCATTAATTTTGCCACATTTGCTCAAAACAAATCAATATTACATGTTCACAACAAGTCATACTCTTTAAGTGAGTGGGCTTGCGAATTGCCTATTGATCTGTGTGTGAAGGGAACAGAGCCGCGGTGGGAGAAAAGGTGTTTTGCCTGCAGTGCCTTGTCTGGGGGGGGGGGGGGGGGGCTCTACGAGCATGACAGGCAGCACAGTGTGGGTGTTCCATATTCATTTTTTTTTCTTTCTATAGGCAAGAGAGCAGCAGGTTCCCTACGAGTGTGTGTGTGTGTGTGTGTGTGTGTGTGTGGGCAGCTGAACGCCACAGTTGGTTGGAAGTGGAGTTTGAGGACTTTAACCTTCTGTAGTGCAAGTCAGTTGAATCCGTGTTTTTTTTTCTTCCTTCTTTCATCCTTTTATTTCCCTGTTGCAGCTTCAATGTGTATTTGTATACGTATGCTGATATTTTTGAAAGTCAGTTTGAAAACTGCAACAAAAAAAAATTGTTCGGAGATGCCAATGAAGAACCAGAGTTTTCGTAGGCTAAAAGGGGTAATTATAGTATTGCTGTGCACTGCCACTCAGCTGGCTTAAAGAGAGCTTAAACAGTCACACATTCCCACCCCCCTTAACATGTCTGTGGTTTGAAGTTGTCGCCGCTGCGCACTGCTGGTCAGCTGGCTGACAGCAGGCCGCCAGATATTTTCTTTCACCGGCGAGAAAGACAAATGTAGCTCCTGCTAAACACTCCCCTTTGTCGAATACACTACAATTCCCCGTTGTGGAAAGCAAAAGAGAAATATCCATCAGCTTTAATGAAGTTTTAAAACTGCCAGTTTGGTTCTCTATAAGGGTTATTTCTGTTCAGCAGCAGGCTGCAGGCTGGCCAACTCATCAGCCATGCTTGTGTTTGCTCTCTAAAACTGCAGGACAGTTATAACACATGTGATTCATCTGACAGATCAGAGCTCTGATCTGGAAATGTCACACCTGAGAATCGGTTTTGATACAAACTGGACAAGCAGCAACACACAGCCACGCAATTTATATACGCAACTAGGGAACAGGTGTAAATTGGTTTGTCCTCTTTCTACTCCTTCTCAAGGTAAATATAATATTATAGAAACCATGAATTTGTTGACTTGTTTTTACTATATGTATACTTCTGCATATGTTTGGGTGTATATACATTTTTTTTTTGTTCCTTTTTGTACCTATTAGGAGGTGTAATAAGCATTTTTTTCCTTTAATATAGCTCAAGATAAAGCAACAACAGTACGAGTTGCTTTTGTTTTGGTGGCAACGGCTGCTAGTAATAGAAGCCTCATATCTTTAGCTCAGTTTTATGTGCTCCATTAAGCAATGTGGCAATTCATCAGAAGTCCTAATATATAGTTTTAATCTGCAACCTCACTCCATTTTTAATAAGATGCAGACCTGTGGGAGACTGTAGCGACTGGCTGCCAGCTGTTCTAGTTGAAATTGTGAGTCCAGGGGGCGCTCTTGTTGCATTTCGTACTAGTAACTAAAAAAAAAAAAAAAAAATCCAACTTTTGAGCACAAAGCAACTGGATGGTGTTTTACACAACGAGCACGCTTTTTTGAAAACTAATAAAAAAATTTAGCAAGTGTTTCATTTAGTCTATCAAAATGATTAGTAAAATGTAGTTTAGACCAAAAGTGATTGTTTTAAGTAGGCATTGCTGGTATGAGATGATTAGGGTATGATAACATGGTCTAAAGCAAAACTAAGAAAAGAATCAACTTTTTTTTTTTCCTATTTTCTGTTTGTCTGGTCTGGTAATATTTCCAGCTTGAACAAAGTGTAATTCTTTGATCAACACTCATAGCCATATTCCAGCCAGCTGACCTGCAGTGCGCAGAAGCTGAAATACGTTATTCTCCGTAGATCCGGTGGGAAATGCCAGACTCTCCAACACTCATCTTGTCTTACATCATTTGAAGAAAATGCTGAAATGTTTTATAAAGCCTTTTTGAAAAAAAAAAAAAAAAAAAAAAAACGTTTCCAACCCTTTACTCCGGGAAACCCCCCCCCCCTGGGGCTGCC